CTAAAGGCCAAACTCACGGGCGATACCTGCCCACCCGCCTTCCCGCACACACCATCGCGAGCTGCGCCACGCGACCCTTGCAGCAGTGCGCTGCTGGCGGGGTGCAGATCCGCACCAGAGCAAAACACCCTGGATTCAGCTACGTGCGTTCCTCATCAGCATCACCTGCATCATCAACAACAGCATCATCAACAACAGCACCAGCACCATTGCCATCGGCATCGCCATCGTTGATTTCATAGTCACCATCCTTACCTTCATCATCAGCTGCATCCTCATCACTATCATCTGTACCATCAGCATCATCAGCATCATCATCGGCAGCATCAGCATCATCACCATCACCATCACCATAAGCATCATCCGCATCACGGATCTCTCACCCTCGAGCAGTCGCCACCCAGAATGTTGTTATTCTCGCTGCTGGTTGTCGCCAGACGTTTCCCCGGAGATTTCTTCGCCACTCATGACCCTGAAGCTTGAAATTTGCAACGGCATCACAGATGGAGAGCGGGTCGTTATCGATATGTGGTTCTCGCCTCAGCACCTCGCACCTTCGTCCTAAAACAGTGCAACCGTTTCACGGATGGAGGGCGCGTGGTTTTCACAATGTTGTGCTCGCGTAAGTGCCGCGCACATTCGTTTTAAACGTTCATAGCAGCTTCACAGATGGAGGGCGGTTCGTTTTTACATTATTAGTTTCGCCTTAGCGCCGCACCCATTCGTTTCAAAAGTTTACAGCAGCTTTGCAGATGTATGTTGCTTCCTTTTCACTGTGCGGTTCTCGCTTCAGTGCCGCGCACATTAGTTCACAGTTTCAAGGATCAGTACGGCCAAGTTCCAGGAATGGTGTTTTGGTACGATCTAGACATGTCAAGGCGCAACAATCACGTTGATCGGTTGCGTCGCACGAACTGCGTTTCGGCACGACTGAGCGGATGTTCGGACGATTGTCTTCTAATGGGCCATTTTCCCGCGATGAGCATACATTATTCTAGAGACAGATAAGGGGGAATCTAGAGGGAGGGTTGACTGCAACATCGTTGATGCATCTTGAGTTTACACTGGTCCTCCTCATCCTTCTCCGGCCTCCTCCTCCTCCTGCCTCCTCCTCCTCCTCCTCCTCCTCCTCCTCCTCCTCCTCCTCCTCCTTCTTCCTCCTCACTACTCATTTCGCACTCCTCACCCCTCACTCCTGACCTCTCATTCTCAGGCTCCTCGCCCTCGCCCGCCTCCGCGGCAGCTGGGCAGGGTGAGCGCAGTCAGGCCGCGGGCGCGCGGGCGCGAGTCTCGCTGCGGGACTTTGGAGCGCATGTCGGTGTCCACTGAGTTTCTGGAATAGCGAGCTTCCTTCCGGTGTGCACCTTTGCGCTGGCCGCGCACGACAGGAGCGCGCCCCGCGCCTGGCCGGCCCCCACCCCCCAGCTCCCGCGCGGCGACGGCCCAGCTTTTACCCCGCCGAGGACCGATGCCTCCAGATGGGCGGCCACGCTCGCAAAGCGACGGCCCGGGCCGTCGAGTTGCAGAATAGAGCGCGTTCAGTCTGAGAGGCTCGGAGCCGCAGGCTGTAGGTATCCCCCCGTGGCACCCAGGCCTGGCCGGCGCCGCAGCCTGGCCGCGGCACCCTCGATGGTTCTAGGCCTCCTAGATGGGGTCGGAGTGGATGGCGTCGGAGGATTGCGCCGCATCGCCGATGCATCGGCGATGCATCAGCGATGCGGCTCGATGAGGGGCCCAATCTTCTCCACGCCGACGTCGCCGATGCGTCGCCGACGTCGCCAGTGCATGGCCGATGCGGCGAGATCCTCCGACCCCATCTGCTCGGACGCCTGGCCGCGCGGCCTCGCCTCGTTCGAGACCTGCTGGCCGCTCGGCCCGTGGGCCCCCACCAGGCCCCGCTGGAAGCGCCGGCGGGCCCCCGTCGGCCCGTCGGGGCCTCGGGGCGCGCCGAGCGCGCCGCCTGCTCCCAGAGCAAGGTTGCGGCACAGCTGCGGCGTGCTGGCTGCGACCGGCGAGCTGCCACCTGCGGGGCCACGGCCGCCACGGGGGCCCTCGCAGATCGGTCTGGCTCGAAAAATGGCACCGGAGGGTGGTGTCCACAGTGGAAGCCCGTGCCAAGAAGCACCCTGCTTTGCTCCAGGGTGCCCTGGGCTTCTTGGGCTTCGATGGCTTTGCGATGGAAAGCGTGGCGCTCGGTTCGGGGAGGGTACCCTACTGCTCTTCGTGATTGTCGGGTGTTCTTGTGCATCCTGGGGAGGGGGCCCTTGGTGATTCTGTGTGTTTGGGCCAGCTGAGGGCCTCATGCTCTTGAAGGGTGCACTTCTAGCATCTCCGACTGCATCCCAGCCCCACCAGGGCACCCGCCCAGGTCGGGACAGGCCCGGCGAGGCCCGAAAGAGAGCCGCATGTGTCCCCGCCCGAGCCGCATGTGTCCCCGCCCGGGCGAGTGGGCCGGCCGCTGCGCCGAGGCCATGCCAGCGGTGGCGGGGAGCAGCCCAGCGGCGTCCAAGAGAGTGGGCGTGCGGACAGGTCCGCCCCGTGCACAGGTTTAGCTGCTTCCAGAGGCCTCCGGGCCCGATGCGCGCACACACACAGACCCCCCCACACACACACACACACACACACACACACACACACACACACACACACACACACACACACACACACACACACACACACACACACACACACACACACAGACACAGACACAGACACAGACACAGACACAGACACAGACACAGACACAGACCAGACACAGACACAGACACAGACACAGACACAGAAACACAGAAACACACACACACACACGCACACACACACACACACACATGGTAGCCAGCGTGGACCCAAAACAGCGATGCCTTGCCCTCTGTGCGGTGCACCCTGGCTGCTTCGATCCGTGTGGCGCAGTCGAGGTGATGCAGTCCGTGCGGTGCAGGCAATCCACGCAGTGCAGAGCAGCGCAACGCAGCGCGGCGGCGGGCGGCGACAAGCCGGCTGGGCGTCAACTGGCGCCCAGCGGCGACCGGCGGCGACGAGCGGGCCAGGCCGCCACCAGGGCCTGGCGGCGACGGGCGGCGACGAGACGGCTGGACCACCACCAGGGCCCAGTTATTTTGGAAGGTAGGAGACCCGAGGCAAGCATTCCTTGGGGAATCGATCGAACACAGGGTCTGCCAGCGCGGACCCCAGACGGGGAGGGATTGCGCCGTGGAGGTGAAAGCTGTGTGGCGTAAGCTATGTTCTGTGAGCTATGTGGCGTACGCCATGTTGTATGAGCCAGGTTGTGAGAGCTATGTCCTGGGAGCTACGCGGTATGAGCTACGTGAGGTGAGCTGTATTGCCTGTGCTATGCGGTGTAAACCATACAGTGCACTCTGACTAGTGAAAGCTATGCGGTGAGCTCCGTGGTGTGAGCACGACGCGGCCACGAGGCGACCACGGGCGACAACGCGGCGAAACCTCGCCGGACCCACCCAGCGCACGAGGCGGCCACAAGGCGGCCACCGGCCTCAAACGTGGCGAGTCCTCGCCGGACACATCCAATTCAGCAGTGACATCAGCAAGAAGTAACAGCCCTTCAGTGCAAACACTGTATTTGGTAGGTCCTCGAAGCTGCAGGAGTCGCGGCGACGGCGGCGACGATGGCGACGACGCGCCGTCACCTCCGAGAGCGTTCCCATACGCGCGTGAAGCCCTCGGAGGCCCTCGACGACGACCAGCACCACCATTACGGCCACGAGGACGATCCCGACCACGGCCATTCGTGCTGTCTCCCCCGACGCCCTGCGGGGTGATCTCTCCCCTCTCCTTCGATGCATTGCGCTGGGGAAGAAGACTAAGAAAAATAAGGGAATCAGCAAAACTATATATATGATGTACATTTGAAAAATAGCAACAGCAACAACAAGAACAACAACAACAACAACAACAACAACAACAACAACAACAACAATTACTAGCACGTGGGGACACACCGTTCTCACCAGTGCCAGGGTTTTCATAGGAGGCGGGCAATACCCCCACTTTGTGGGGGGGCCGGTTCAAGCTCTACCAAATTTCCAAACGACTCTTCGCCACCACCCACACCCAGCTTCCCGCCCTATGACGTTCGGACACTTCACTTCGTGGCATGCGGACGACCGTGGCTACTATTCAGGGCCCCGCGGCCGACGACGACGGCGTGCGCGCGCGAAGAAAAAACGAATGTGTCCCGCATGGTATTATTTGACAGGGATGATGGCCCTGGCAGGTGCGCAACCGTTGTCGCAGAAGTTCGAAAAAGTTGCTCGCAAAAGCCCGTTTGACAGAAATGTTTAAAAAGTGTTGGGTTTCCTACGAATCCGCAAGAGCGCGCGGGATGAGATTTTGACATTTTTTTGTTGAAAAACCATTGGTTTTTTGATGTTTTTATGTTAAAATCGCTCGAACACTAAGCTTTTGGAAGGATTTCGTCTTGCGCGCGCGAATGTCCACTTTACCTTATTTTTTGCAAGGGATTCTTGAAATTTGATTATATTAGAACAAGAAATGTCATTTTATAGTGTTTTTTGCAAGGGAAAACGGATTACAACAAAACAACCGGATCTGGATCACATCGTTTTACCTGAGGCTTCCTCACGAAAATGATGAAAATGTAGCTGCGGCCTAGGCGGCGCAGGGGGGGCGCGCACCAGGGGGCCCAACAATAATTATTCTTTAGAATAAATAATGTTCAACAACAACAACAACAACAACAACAGCAACAAACAAACAAACAAAAAACAAAAAACAAAAAAAAACGACCACGACGACGGCGGCGCCGTCGTCGCGGTCGTCGGCGGGCGGCGGCGGCGGCCGCGGCAGCGGCGGCGGCGGCAGCCGCGGCGGCCGTGGCGGCGGGCAGCCGCGGCGGCCGGCACGGGCAGGTGCGGCCTCACCGGCGCGGGCGGGGCCGCGGCCGCGGCCGCGGCGCGCGACGCGCCGCTGCTGGACTTGCTGTACGACCCGGCGGGGAACAGGCGACGGCACCGTCGTCGTCGTGGTCCCGGGGATCCCACGCACTGAGGAAATCAGGGTAACAGCAGACGGGGTAACTGGAAACGGCCGGTTCGAGGCATCAGATGGCCCTTTTGTTGCAGTGCAGTTTTTGTGTTTGATTTCGCGTTCGATGCACGATTTCGTTTTTTGATTTCGCGTTCGATTTCAGTGCAGAGATCCCACGCTTTTTTCAATACAAAAATCGGAGGTTGTTTTCGCAGCGCTCGGCCTCTACAGCGGCCCTCTCCCGGGCCCCGGGAGCGTCAAGAGACGGCGCGGGAGGAAGCGGGCGGGGAGCAGGCGACGTCACCGTCGTCGTCGTGCAGTCGAGCATTTGATCAAGAAACCTCCTCTCGGAAAGCTGGGCCAGCGTCTCTTGGCCAGCTTGCCGGAAAGCCGGCTCCGTTTCTTGAGCGCGTTCGCCCCCCCGTGTTGACACAGTATCTTGGCCCAGGTTTGTCTTAAAAAATTTCCAGGAAGCTGGCCCAGGTTTCTTCAATGATGATTTTCTTGATCACATTTTCGGCTGTAGTCCCAGAGATCCAACGCATTGAGAAAGTTCTAGACGCTTCGCGTATTCCCACCAGCCCATCCAGAAACGACGCCCGGGCGAGTAGAGGGTCGTCCTGAGGGGCTTTTCGGCGTCTTGGGTGCCTCGGGGGGGCCTCTTTGGGCCGCTTGGGATCCTCTTGGAGGCCTCCTGGGGGCCTCTTGGGACCTCTTGGGGCCATCTTGGGGCCTCTTGGGGCCTCCTGGGCGCTTCTTGGGGCCATCTTGGAGGACATCGATCAAAGAAGAGGGGAGCTTCAATTAGGGTTGCCCCCTCAGGAGGCCAACATGGGGCCAAAACCGTCGTAAAATCCATGATTTTGGCTTCCTCGCCGAGGCCGTTCTGGACGCCCTGACCGCTCGCGGCCCCCCCCGTCCAGGTCCACGGGGAGGGGGTAGGGGGAGGGGCTCAGTGGTGCTCACAGCGCCCCAGGCCCAGGCAGAGCACAGTTGTTGTTGTTGTTGTTGTTGTTGTTGTTGTTGTTGTTGTTGTTGTTGTTGTTGTTGTTGTTGTTGTTGTTGTTGTTGTTGTTGTTGTTGTTGTTGTTGTTGTTGTTGTTGTTGTGTTGTTGTTGTTGTTGTTGTTGTTGTTGTTGTTGTTGTTGTTGTTGTTGTTGTTGTTGTTGTTGTTGTTGTTGTTGTTGTTGTTGTTGTTGTTGGGGGGTATGCACGCCCGGACGGCGGCCCCCGCCGACCTAACAGAAGACGAAGCGCAGAGGCCGACACGAGATACCCGCCAGGAGGAAGGGGGAGGCGGAGCAGGAAAAGGGGGAGGAGGAGGAGGAGGGGGAGGGGGAGGAAAAGGGGGAGGAGGAGGAGGAGGGGGAGGGGGAGCAGGGGAGGAGAGGATATCCCGTAGCGGGCCACAGGGACACCCAAACACTCGTTTGCGCAGGGTCCAAATGGTGGGCGGTTCCCCCTTGAAAAAGCGGTTGGGATCACTGTGCACCCGTACATCCCGGACACGTACACAACATAATAGCGCACCACACACACTCATGAGTACGCACAACATACACAAAGTACATACACGCACAGTGCGTATCCCTTCATGCGACTCCCCGTCCATGCGACGTTCCCTCCCATACGGTTCGCAAGCGGCCTGGATCCTCCGAGGTTGCATCACATGCCAACAGGGTGCAAGACCCCCACCCAAAGAGGCCCGGTGCAAGACCGGACCCCGGCGCAGCGGGCGGCCCGAAGGCGAAGGCGGCACAAGCAACCAAGCGAGAACACGGGCACGCACAGCTCGCAGCTTGGCGAATTACAGGATTACGCTCGAAGCCCGCCAGAGTTCCCCCACCCACCCTCCGAGAAATGCCAGAAGAACCAAACGTTTCCAAACTGCTCGGTAGCCACTGGCGTCCCTGGTCGCCTGGCCAAAACATGTAAGGTCGACACCTTAGGACCGGCAGCGCGCCGCACAGTATCCCGCGCTCCACCTACACCAGGGTGCGGTGGTCAGGCGCCCCCCAGCGCTAACGACTAGTGTGTGGCCAGGGGAGATGCCCGGAGACATCAACCGCCCCCGGCCCAGGGACTGTCGAGTGATGCCCTCCCGCCCTGGCAGGAGACACGAGCAAGAACAAAGGGAACGAACGACCCAGGGCACAATGCGCACAGCGGACTCGGAGTCCATCCGCTGTGCACTGCAGGGGTTTGCCGTGCCGGCTCGCGCAGCATTTCTGAAAACCATGGACTAGTCTCCATCCTATGTAGCCGGCCCGTTGCCCCACGACCCGGCCGGGCGGCCTGGGCATCCATGGGTCTACATAATCACAAGCGCGCTAAACGAGGCACAGTAGCTCCTTTCCGACTCGGCGGTCTGTGGACGCGCCGGTCGAGATGGCGAGTCTCGACCCGACGCCGCGGCCCAAGGAGCAGGGCGTGGGGCGGTGAGGATCAAAACCGCGCCCTACGCTGAAGAGTCTGAGCACGAACAACCAAACCAGTACCACACAGCCCAAAAGACCCTCCTTCGCAAAACAACTGTAGTTCATGGAGACTCGTGGCACGAAACACACGCACAAGCACAACACACATCACGCACAATAAAAGATTGGAAACACACCTCCGAACGCAAGCTCCTTGAACCAATACTGCATGACCCCGCCGCCCAGGCAGAGCACAGTCTTTGCCTGCTGTACCGTAGTTCGGTTCAGACTGAGCTTCACAAACACTTCATCGTCTGTTTCGATCTCGTCAATTCTATTCCATTCTTAGGGGGTCAAGGCCCCCTCCCCGCCCGCAAGCCGTCTCGCTCACTCCCACCCGCCCTCCCAACACATACGTAGCACCCGAGTCTGGCCCGAGCCTCAGCATATTCAGCAGTCGTCTTTGGATGGGTGGCTACTGGGGGCCAATCCGCCGCCGCCACCGCCGCCGCCTCCGCCGCCGCCGCCGCCGCCCGCCGCCGCTGCCGCCACGCCGCCGCCGCCGCCGCCGCCGCCCCCGCTGCCAAACCGCCTCCGCCGCCGCAGCCGCTGCCGTCACCGCCACCGCCGCCGCCGTGCCGCCGCCGCCGCAGCCGCCGCAGCCGCCGCAGCCGCCGCCGCCGCCGCCGCAGCCGCCGCAGCCGCCGCCGCCGCCAAGTGTACTCTGTATTGTTTTTTGACAAGGATGGTGGGGGGGGGCCGCATCGGTTTGGCTGCGCATGTTCCGAATTTGGAGGCGGAGTGTGTCTTGTATTGTTTTTACAAGGAATCGTGGGGGGTGTTGTCATGGACCCTGGTTGGCCCCCAGTCGCCTGGGGGAGGGGGTGTTTATCAACCCTCCCCGAAGGGGAAGAGGGAGGGGTGGAAGAGGAAACGCCCTACACCACCGACGCGCAGAGGGCTGGTGGGATTAAGACGGAGGTTCTTCGCAGCGTTCGGCCTCCATAGCGGCCCTCGCCGGGCCCCAGGACCTTCAGAAAACGGAGCAGGATGAGAAACCGGTCTCTCGGGGAACAGGTCGAGACTTCCGGGGACCCCGCATTGGGAAAAATCACGACATCGGATCTCTGGGGTCCTCGTCGCCGTCGGCCCTGGTGGTCGCAGTCGTGCCGCCGTCGGCATCGACGTCGACGCCTTCGTCGAGGATCTCCGCTCGCTGCCCAAACCGCGCGCACGAGAGGCAGCGCGCGCGGTGGCAGCAGAGGCGCCGCCCGGGGGCGCCCTCGTCCTCGTCATTGCGGTCTCTTCGAAGGTCCGTGGAGGCTTCTGGGCGCGATTCGCCCGCTTCGGCCTGGTTACTCAAAAAGTATTCGGGGCGTTTTCGGCGATCTTCGGCGGCGTCTCCGATGTTCTCGGCGGCGTTCGGCGCTTCCATCGTGCTCCTGGGAGCTTGCTAGTGAAGTTAAGGTGGTGTTTCTTGCTCGGAGGTTCCTCTACGGCTGCCCGCAACATGTCTTCCTGGAACCAGATGGCGCGTTCCAGAAAAGGATTCGTCTTCCAGGACCGAAGGAGTTGGCATCTCTTCCTCGGCGGAAGCACGAAGGGGATACCTCGGCATGCGAGAGGCCGACGGAAGGCGGCGGAAGTAAAAAAAAATGCGCACCAAAGAGACGTTCCAGGAACAAAATATGACAGACAGCAACATTCGAAAATCCGCGTGGATTTCTCGGATCGGCGCTGGAGGCGTCTCCAGCGCCGCCCTTGGCGCGCTCTGCGCGCCAGGGAGGGGCTCCCAGCGCCGATCCGAGAAATCTGCGCGAACCTCCGAAAGCAAATGTTTACGTCATTGTCTGGTCCTCGAGGCGTCAGCATGTGGGACCCAGGGCTCCCAGAGCCCGCCACGTGTTCGGAAGCAGGTCCTCGGAGCACCAGGAGCAGGAAGAGGAGGAGGGATGCTTCCGGATCGGACGGGAGGTCCCCGGGCGCCGGCGCAACGGAGACTTGCGGGGCGAAGCCCGAGATCCGAGCTGTCGGCCCGAAGGCCAGGCCAGCCTTAAGTCGGGCGTGCCCTCCTACAGGGGGACGTTCGACGAAAAATAAAGATACCCCAAGAAGAGTCCAAAAGGTAAACAAATGTTCCAGAAATAGTCCCCAGACTATTTTTGGATTATTTTTTTTATTTTTTTGGGGGTATCTTTTTTTTCCGTCGAAAATCCCCCCTGTCCATGTCACGTCGCCGCCTTCTCGTCGAATCTCCCGAGCGACTCCTGCCCCGCATGCGCGCAGGGGTTGGGCACGTCGCCGGGGTGATTGATTATTGAATCGCTTCGCTCATTCCGCCGGCCCGTATTGTGCCATCGCGGGGTCTTGGGGGGTCTTGGGGGCCCTTGGAAGCTTCGTGGGAGCTTCTTGGGAACTTTGGGAGGCCTCGTGGATGGCTCTGGGTGGGCCCTCTTTGTGGTCTCTTGGGGGGGTCTGCCTGGCCTCTTGGGGGCCTCCTGGGAGCTTCCTGGGGGTCTCTTGGGGGCCTCTTGGGGCTTTCTTGCGGCCTGTTGGGG